ATACATGGGTCGAAATCCTAAGGGGCCCGATGCCCGTATTTTAAGGCTCAGGCCTGACATTTCTAATACTAGCAAGCCCGACGGGCCCGTAGAAAATCCAATCCGTAAACATGCAGAGTTTGTGTACATTCTATTGCTGTAGTGCAGGCCAGCCAACAGTTAAAAAAGAGTCCAAAGAGTGAGGACACCAGGGAGGACGGTGAGAATTCTGACAGCTCTTTAGTAGTCGCTAAATATGTTCTTTGTAATACTGTAAATAAACCATTGTAAAAATTTCAGTCTTATTTTTAAAAAAAGCTGCGGTATCCGGGTAATGATGCGGGCCGGTAATTTGCCTGGCGCGCCTGTAAAATCCCTTACCTACAGAGCCGGCGGGCCTATAAATTTTCAAACTAATTTCTACCCCTGCTATATGTTTGCAGCGGATCACCGGAGCCTTTCAAGTCGAGGCACGTCACCAGCTACTCGTGCGAGCAGAAGAGCAAGATTGTGATCGAGAAGAAGGATGAGGTGACGATGTCGGGACTTCCTCCCAAGGAAAGCAGTCAGTCAGGCACAACTGTCGCCGACGTGGTGCCCGCGGCGAATCCCACAGCTGAGGGATTCGTAGCGGAACCTGCGAAGACTGCCACGTCGGGTGACGAGCCACTACAGTCTACTCCTTCAGCTAACATGGCGACGATGACGTCGATACAGGTTAGTTTGAAGCGCGGGTGGTGTTTGCCATGATGCCAGGCATGTCATTTCTGAAACTGAGTCGACGTCATAACTTCTTTGCTGCGAGAGACATCGATTTCGCCTCTGATTTCAGGCTAAAACTCCTCACGTGAAAGTTAAAGACGTGTTAGGTGCTCGGATGGTGACATCTTCATCAGAAAGGTAGGTAACTAACTAATCCACTCGTTGAGATAAGTCTGAAAACTCAAGCAGTCCTGATTTTGACAAAAATTTTGATTTTACCTATAGTAAAATCCGTAAAAATTAGTTAAACCTGCTTAAAGGTTATCAGTCTTGGTCAGAGAGACGTGCTGTTACTTTCATCACTGACTAATCACAACGTGAGATGCGTGTGTTAATATCTATGTGACGTGTGACACTTTTGCATAAGTTCCTATGCCAACAATATAATGACGAATGACTCTGTACCGTGCTTTACGGTAACACTAACAGAGCCGAGAAGATTTCCAAAGACCAGGACCAGGTGACGACACCCAAGACGGCCCCGGTTTCGGCCATCTCAGGCCTGCAAGTGAAGCGCAAAGCCGTTGACGCGAAAACCAGCGCCAGCAAGCGGTCGCGCAAGGATTGGGAGCGTAAGAAGGAGAAGGAGGCTCTAGGCTCTCCCGCACCGGTTCCAACGGTGGGTCACAGGAAATTATTGCCTGAAGAGAGGGAAACAGGAAGAATCAGTGATAGATGATGAGAGCGAGGCAGATTGGGGAGGGAGAGAGAGAGAGCGAGTGATACAAAGAGAAAGTAAGAAAGGGAGCGATAGCAAACGGTGGAACGGGAAGGGTTAATCCATCGTTTGTACAAAGGTCCACACATGGGACATTTGTTAGGTATCAACTACCATCCCGCGATGGCTGTCTGATATCCACCTGTTATTTTCACTACTATTAAACTTGTCTAATAGCACGACACCTTTTCGCATTCTGGCACAGAGTACAACTGACAGGGAGCTGAGTAATCAGGGTCTCTCATCATCCTCAATACAGCTACCTGTGTCAAAGCCTCAGCGTGTACTCCATGCAACAGTAAGTGAAATTAGCTCTCTCCTTTTTAGGTTTAGCAAAACGTTTGGTGCGTATTTCGTTATGCGTTTTAACGTGGTGTTTTGGCATTGGTTTATAAAATTTGTGTACCAATCTGTATCACTGACCCTAACTAACTGACAAAATGAGAAATGTTTTACTGTGACTGAACAACATCACAAGTGGATTATGCAAATCATACTATGCATTAATGTCTCACTCTTGACAATATACACATTAAATTGAGCAGGTTTTCATTACTGGTACATTATACTCGGCTAGAAAACTCTAATGTAGTAGCTCTAGTCACTCTAACTAGTAGCATCCGCTGTGGTTCCACAGACGACAGGCGAGAAAGGCTGCAAAGTGAATGTCTGTGTAGAGAACAACATGACGTCGACTGGTCCCACGGTACACACGGTGAAGTACATGCAGGACGGCAAGGGAGTCGTGTGGGAGGCGGCACTGGGCAGCCGCGGAATCCAGCTGGCTGCCAGTCGGTAATATCCTAGTTCTTGTCTCATCAACCACAAACACAACCTCAACCTAATTAAGCAGCTTCGTTTGCTCTTCTTTCTCGCGCGGCGGTGGCTGTGCGGCGTGCAATGCGTTTATAGCTCTCCGAGTCAACAGTGAGCAAGTTCTATGACGTTTAATCTGCCATATTAAATTTCTCGCACGTTTTATGAAAGCAACTGCCATTCCACGCCCATGCCACAGCGCATCTCATTAATCGCTCTCGACTTGACACGGACAGTCTAATAGAAGCTCGGCTCATTTACTGAATCCCAGGGCATGAAATTAGCCAAAATGTGAACAGGCCCACCCAAAATTTTAAACAGGCCCTTAGACAAATTGAAAAGGACCTTACAAGTTTGAACCGGCCTTTAATTTTGTTCAGTTTTTTCCATTATTAATCAAAGTATTAGCGTTATGTTTATTAGGCATACTCATAGTATGTCAGTATTTCATTGCTATCAGTGGAGTTCTACTTGTTTGACAGGAATTGCTGGAACATGATTTACTTCCTAGTAGTCACTAAGTAAAAACTAGTCAGGAAATTTGTAAATATTGTTGATATAAAGGCAAGATAGGCAAAATTTTGAATAGGCCAAGTGAACCGATTATATGGGTGGTTGAACCGGCGGTTTAGGGGGTTGAACTGGCGGTTTAGCGGGTTGAACTGGCGGCCGGTCGCTAATTTCGGTCACTGGAATCGCATTCCCGTTGAAATAGTATCGAATGTGGCACGGAGCGCATTAACAGCTGTGCTTTGTGTGAACCGCAGCTACATCGTGTGCGTTGGCTGTGAGGACAGGAGCGTGGTCATGTTGAGCCAGGGTGGACGGCGGCTACTGCCCAGCATGGTGCTGAGCACGCCGGCCGCGCTCATGCAATGCAACGGTCACTGCGCGATGGCGATCACGGCTGACGGATCCGTATTCGTGTGGTGAGTTTGTGTGACTTCTCTCTCTCTCGCTATGTGAGATGGCAACAGTCGTTGGTTACGTGTATAATCTGCACACTGGTTACTGCCGTACTGTCGGTGCCACCATGCAGGTTCATAGTAGTCATCGGCGGCGCCACTATTACTACTGTCACTTGTTGTCGTTGTCATCATCGACGTCATGGTAGCCATTTTAACGATGTTCATCATTATCATCATTGTTACTTTCACCGTGATTGTCGTCGTCTTCAGTGTCATTGAAGGCATCATAATTATCGTTATGATGATCATCATCATCACTATCGTCATTACTTTCATCATCAGCTCAGCATCGTCATCATCAATATTATCATGATAGGGATTGTAATGATCATGATTATTATCATTGTCATTGTCATCATAATCATCATCATCACTGCAGTTATCATCACCAGCAGCATCGCCATCAGCAGCATTATCATAATCCTCGTCATTATCGTCGTTGCATCATCCTCGTCATCACAGGCTTTCAGATTTGAAAAGTACAGGAGGACTACTAATGACTCCCCTAGGACACCATAGGGGGACTTTTCACGCTCCATAATCACACCCTTAAGAGGCACGATGGAGAGCTCCACTAAAAAATCACACCCTTATGAAGAGCTCCACTAAAATCACACCTTTAAAAGGATGATGATGAGACTCCTTGAGGCTCTCCATCATGCCTCTTGGGCGTGGATGAAATGGAATCATGACACATCCTCAGTCTAATGAGGTGAATCCAAACGAACATTGGTGATGTCATGTCAATCTAATCTGATTATCAATTCATCTTCACCTTCAATTCATTCATGGGTTCCGTCAGGTATTACCATCTTTATTCATTCCAAACAACCCACACACTAGCACACAGATTAATAAAAGAGTTGACGGATCAGTACAAATATAAACTTGTTTATTTATTCTGATTTCCATCCTATAGAGATTCTAATCCATGTTACCTGCAATATTTCAGCACAAAATAGCATCACATCCATCACAAACTAGCCAATTATTGTACGTAGTAGCCACGTATGTAGGCCCTTCCAGCCTACGACTTGTTTCACGTCGGCAGAACCACTTCGTCGCCAGTATAGTAGAAAACGAGCAGGTACCTTGTGGCTCGTATAGGTAACCGTGCGGCGCGCAAACCTACCATTTTGAAATGTGGGGGGGGGGGAACACCAGTAGCGAGGCACGCGGATGGGGCGGGCGGTCTCTAGGGAAAAATTTTGAAATTAGGAACCCCCTCAGATGCGGTTTTCTGCGCGAGGCAGGGGTGGTCCGGACGCCCCTGGTACACCCCCTGTACAGCGCCCTGGCACACACACACACACCCACACACACACACACACACACACACACACACACACACACACCACACACACAGCACACAAAGCACACACACACACACACAGTGCCACACCACACACACACACATGGCAATTTGTGTGATGATAAGATTACGGAAGGAGTGTCAAAATTCAGTCATACAAATCAAGAAAACAAAAAGCAGAAAACGCAATCATTTGGTGTTGAGGCCGGCTGATCTCAGAAATAAAATTGGTCCGTTATTTTCATTATATATAGTTCATATCATATAGCGGTGTATATAATCATCAATTTGGGCAATAAAAGAGTTAAGTTATATAAAAACCTATTGCTCAGGTTAACTCAGTGCCTCTTGGCGTGGGGAATATAGCTCGGTGTTCCAGAGCTTAATCTTGAAATCAGTGTCTGAATGTGACGTGATATCTCCTTAAACTGTCTCACTAACATAGTTATCTCTTGATGGATGTTCTTGCATAAGACATTATTTATATTAAGAAAAAAACGTGTTAAAGAAAGAACGGTACTAAATTTATCAAGACTACATTTTTTTACAGATTGTGTGATGATATTTGCTCTCAAAATGGCACATGAATGAAATGAAAAGCTGGCAAAAAAGAGAAAAAAGGAAAGAAGATCAATCGTTACGCCACTATCAACCCCACAATATAAAAGGTCTCTCACAACCAAACCACACAACAACACACCACACACTCACACACACAACCACACACACACACACCACACACACAACACACCACAGCACACACCCCACCACACACTTGACACACACACCCTACACACACACACACACTTACACAAAAAATCATGGTGATCCAAAATCGTGGGGGGGACATTTGATATGATGTCGTCCCCCCCTCTGAAAATTCGTGGGGGGACATGTCCCCCTGTCCCCCCTGGATTTGCGCCCCTGGGTACCTGTATTTGGATGCTGTTGTTTAGTTGTATTTATATATATATATAAACCAGAGGGTAGTAACCAGACCTGTACCTTTGCCATACGTTCAGTTACTTACACACCACAAATTGTTGTGTGTTGCTAACCTTTTTGTACCCCCCTACATTGAGAACTCTACGAAGCGCTATTTCAACATAATAAACATACTTTTGGTGCGCGATTTCAACCACTTTTATGAGGCGCGATGATGCGCGCACCATGGCACAATTTCGGGTGCGCGGTGGAGCGCGATCGCGCCCCTTAAAAATGAAAGCTTGTCATCATCACTACTGTCACCGCGATCACAGTCACTACAGTCACCGCGATCACCGTCACTATCGTCATCACTACTGTCACCATGATCATCATCACTATCGTCATCACTACAGTCACCGCGATCACCGTCACTGTCGTCATCACTACTGTCACCGCGACCATCGTCACTGTCGTCATCACTACTGTCACCGCGATCACAGTCAATATCGTCATCACTACTGTCACCGCGATCATCGTCATTGTCGTCATCACTACTGTCACCGCGATCACAGTCACTATCGTCATCACTACTGTCACCGCGACCATCGTCACTGTCATCATCACTACTGTCACCGCGACCATTGTCACTGTCGTCATCACTACTGTCACTGCGATCACCGTCACTGTCATCATCACTACTGTCACTGCGATCACCGTCACTGTCGTCATCACTACTGTCACCGCGACCATCGTCACTGTCGTCATCACTACTGTCACCGCGACGATCGACACTGTCGTCATCACTACTGTCACCGCGATCATCGTCACTGTCGTCATCACTACTGTCACCGCGACGATCGACACTGTCGTCATCACTACTGTCACCGCGACCATCGTCACTGTCGTCATCACTACTGTCACCGCGATCATCGTCACTGTCGTCATCACTACTGTCACCGCGATCAGGGGGTTTCAACCCGCCGATCATCGTCACTCGTCCCGTCATCACTTTACTGCACCGCGATCACTGTCACTGTCGTCATCACTACTGTCACCCGCGATCACAGTCACTATCGTCATCACTACTGTCACCGCGACCAACAAGTCACATATCTGGCATCAGCTACTGTCAACCAGTGACCGATCGTACTGTTTGTGCCATCACTACTGTCCACCGCGACCATCGTCACGTCGCGTTCCAATCACTACTGTCACGCGGCACCCCATCGTCACTGTCCGTCATCATTAGCTTGTCACCGCGATCACGGTCACATTTAGTCGGGCAGTCGAACTACTGGTCACTGGCGATCATCGTCATTGACGTCATCACTAACTGTCACCGCGATCAATTGTCACTATGCACATCACTACTTGTCACCGCGATCATCCGGTCATTGGTCGTGCTCTACTACCTGTCACATGGCAACCATCGTCACTTGTCATCATTCACTACTGTCACCGCGACCATCGTCACTGCGTCATCGATCACTTACGTCACCGCGCGATCACAGTCCACTGTCGTCATCACTACTGTCACTGCGATCATCCGTCACTTATCGTCATCACTTACTGTCACCGGCTGCCATCAATCGTCACTGTCGTCATCACTATGTCACCGCCATCATCGTCACTGGTCGTCATTCACTACTGTCCACACTAGCCATCATCGCACTTGTCATCACCTCCACTACTGTCACCGCCATCTATCGTCACTCTGTCGTCACACTACTGTCACCGGCGCGAGCGATCACAGTCACTGTCGTCATACACTACTGTCACCGCGATCCACAGCACTGTCGTCATCACTACTGTCAACCGCCATCAATCCGCACTGTCGTTCGATCAGGTACTGGTCACCGGCGATCACAGTCCACATGTCCGTCATCACTACTGTCAACGCGGATCACAGTCACTGTCGTCACACTACTGTCAACCCGCCAGTCATCGTCACTGTTGTCATCGCCTACCTGTTCACCGTGACCATCGTCCATCAATTACTGTTCCGATGCGACCATCGT